TCGGTGATTGCTCGTGTTGCACGATACAGTCAACATTCATATGGAGTCGACATGCACCCGAATCTACAGGCCCCTTCACGGGGGAGAGGGCTGAGCGGGGGGGGGGCAGTTACAGTCTCAACTTTATGGAGTTGGAAGGGGAAGAGAATTCCAGACCGCAGGAGCAGAAGCCGAGAAGGGGAGTTTGCCTGTAGGCTTTGCAAGGAGGCCTTTATTGTGCTTGAGCGAGAGACAACGTGCCGGAGGGTAAAGCGAGATGAGAGAGGAGAGATTGGCGGAGGGGCCAAGAGCTAAAAAAATGTTCAAAAAAATGGAATCTGAGACTTGACTCGTCGTTTGTCGTAGTGCTGTGGGGGTGGCCGTGCAAATAGGCTGCTGCGTTTTCGCAGCTACCTTGCCTGCCCGCGCCTCCGCAGTCGACCACAGGAATGTATCAGCCGCCACCTCTTGAGCCTTTTTCCACGCACCGTCCCCGCCGCTCAATGATAAAGTAGTTGGTGGGAGGTCGCAGGGTTAAAGGTTATCCATCGGCCCAGTTCCACATATTTCGGACTGTTTATCACACCGCTGCCTCCCCCTTACCTTATCCACCCACGGCCTCCTCCCCCGCCCGCCCGCCCGCCCCCTCATCGCCTTCTTAAACAAATATGCGGTAAACGACTGCCGGTTGCGGTAAGACATTGCCAAAGCGCCCCCGAGTTCCTTGAAGGGAGATTATAATGCATGCCCTTCCCCTTTTTGAACTTGTGGTGTATCAGTGCTTTGTGTAAATCGTCTGAGAAGCCTTCAGCTTCGGACGTCTCTTTTTGCCACGGGCAGGTCAAGTCGCGAAGCCCAAATAGCGTTGAACTTCTTTCGCGCCATACGTACGAAAGCCAAACCGTGCAAATCGGAGGTGCCCGAACACAACGGGGCTCTAAAGATGCCTACGCCGCACGTGTAAGCATGCGGCTAAGGCGTCAACAAACGGTTAGGGCAAGTGCTGTTTTGCGAGCCAACCTATGAAGGTTTGCTTTGCACACGAGGGGGTAGATCGACAAAATCCCGCCCGGCCGCCTTTGTCTCCCCAGTGGTGATGTTTAAACGCTGCACCACGTACTCATTTTATGCCAAGTCGACCTAGGGTAGGCCCTGGAACGGGTTCAAACAATCCTCACTGACGTTGACCGCGAGCGGGAATCGAACTCGGATCCGCAGGGTTTGTAGCGCACAACCACCCACCACCACCCACCGTCACCTCCCACCACCACCGTCACCTCCCGCACTGGCCAGCGATTTTTGTTTTTGTTACCGTATTTTTTGCAGCGTGAACATGCTTTTGATTGTCCGTCTGGAACGCAAAGCGGATGAGGGGGGGGGGAGAGGACGTGTTTTACCCCGAGGTACCAAATAATCCAATCTGGCCGAGGCAATTAAATATTTTATTTCTGGGACACTTTTTTTCCAGGGTTGTTACTTAACTCCGCGACTGGGGTACCAATCAATCCGAAATCGGTGCTACTCCGCGATGTCGACACGCGGCGAGGACGATTGCGCTGTGCATCGTGTACAGCTCGTCGAGACAACCATAAACAGACTAAAAATGACTGCATCACAAACATTATGCGAGAGCCGGGGTACTATGGTACCCCGGGGTACCGCCATAAGGTTCAAATCCCCCCCCAAAAAAATTGGCTTCATTAAATAATGAACTGCTACTGCATATGGATGAGCCCGTAATGGGGCTGCAATGCGCACCTGTTGCCGTGAAGGCCTCTCCCTCGAGTAAATATAATAATGAAGCTTCCCCTCTACCTCCACACTCCCTTGTTGCCACTGAGAAGCCTCCAAGTAGCACAGTTGGCTACGTACGGTGCGGAAGAAGTTCAACGTACGTACATACAAGAGGGCGCCTCGTCGTGTCTGGCAAGCCGCATGCTTTTTTTTATCCTTCGAAGCGAGAGAAGGAAATTTCGCACGAGGTCGGCACTTTCTCAACGCCCGTTTTTTTTTTTACGACTTCACTACTGTGACGCGCGCCAGCGTCGCTTGGGTTGTCGTGATAATCTGCGGAGGGCGGCGTGAGCCGCGTGCCGCTGAAGGGCACTTGGCGAGGAGGGTGGAAAGTAAAGTATGAAACTATTTTTTTATTTTACCAGATGAGACCACACTGAGCTATGTAGCTCTTTTTGAGAAGCGACCTGGCCACAGATGATAGCTCAACAGAGTGGCTTATCATCGTCACGTGGAAATTTATAGCAGATAAATACTCTAAACGCGTGATGTTGATTCTAAATGTGGAGGGAAAAACCGGAGGGACCCGGAGAAAAATCCACGCGACCACGGGGAGAGAGACACGCAGACTCCAAATATACAGCAGGCGTCTGGGTCGGGATCGAACCCACGACCTCCTGCAAACCAGGCGAGGCTGTTAACATCTCGTCACCGCGGCGCTGCCAAAAGCCAGGATTACCGTCGTGATCTGCGTGCGCGGTCGCGGTTAAAGGAGGGGCTGCGTGGAGTTCCATTAAAGCGAGTGGGCATTGTCGTTTCTTAGTTTTTGTAAAACCTCGTTTGGCTTTGTTCGTGGCACGTAGCGTGCCCCCCTACAAGCCCGCGATGATATTTTGATGATGAGGATGGCGATGACCCCGTAACCCCCACACTAAAGAACGTGATCCCCCTCGAGCGTGAGCTCATATTGAACGTGTTCATTACAGCTCGAGGGTTGTATAATTAGCGTCTGTTAATATATCCAAGAATTCGCGTAATTTAAATGAATCATTACTCTGCTCCAATCTGACCCTTGATGTAAGTCATGGGATTTGAGCAGAATTTGATCATTTGGACCGACGAACTTTTTTCCCCTGCTTGGCATTGGTGAATCATTTTTCGTACGCATTCTATTTCATTCCAAACCCACACATTGCCCCCTTTCCTTAAAAGATAGGGGGAAAAAATGTGATTTAATTTGTATTGCCATCATTTGAAATTGAGCCAGCAGCGTTGTTGTGCGTGAGTAGAGAGCATCTTGTTTATTCAAGGCTCCTCCGGGTGCCGCAGGTCTACAGCCAACAGCGTCTGGCCGATTGCATAACAAAATTGGTGCTCCCATCGTGCCAACACTTCAAATATGCTTGCACAACAGGAGCTGTTGATTCACCCGGAGGTGTTCTACCAGAAGCCTTAATTTCATTACAATCATCGTCATAGTCCACGACAAATGCACTGCTAATTGAAGGCCTCGTCAGACCGTCGCCGTCCTAGCGCCTGCGCACAAGGCGATGTTTCATCGCTCCGTCTGCGCGGTGGACTTCCTCTGGGGTGCGGTGCCCCTCCCTCGGCTGATGATGCAATTATCCGTCCACGTGGCGTCACATCGCCGGCTGCGCTCAAGCGTCGCGCCTTCCACTGCGGCTGGTCCCTGATGTCGTCTCCCCACCCCCACCACCCCCACCACCCCCCGCCCCGACCATCACGGGCACCAAGCTGGCGCAAGTTCCCAGTGGCTCTCCCGAGGTTGTACGTGCGGTTGTTGAGTCAAACCTGTGCGCATTAGCGCCCCGATGGTGCAAAGCTGCAGTGCCCATCTGAAGCGCAGGCGCCATCTGGCCCAAGCCACGTCTTCTGCCCGAGGCATCGGCGCCCCTCCCAGACCACGCGGTGTCCAGATGTGCCATTCGACCCGGAATAACCCTACCCACTTAAAGCGTGCGCGAAGCGCCTGTGTCTTTTGTTATGGGGAGCGATGGGGGGGGGGAGCGATTAGTGCACTGCTATAGGAATAGGTTTTACCCTTTTAACTGGCACAAAAACTGACACCTTTATTCAAGGCATCATGTTTGCAATAACCACAACACAAGCAGTCAAAATGCAAACAAAAAAGACAACTCTGATAATAATATGCACTGTCCTTGAATTTGATTGGTCCACACCCGAGACAGCTTTTCATAGAGCCTTGTCTCCATTGGTGTCGGACCAGAAGACGCCAAAAGGCGTACAACTCAAAAACAGCGCACTATCAGAGTATTGAGGGCTCGGGGTGAGCATTTACATTATGAGACTTCCTTTGCCAGTAACAAGATGTAGGAATAGGTTTTACCCTTTTAACTGGCATAAGTGCGCGCTATCGGCACTTTCCTCACAAACAGTCCACTCAGGTTCTCATGGTAATCTGCGACATTCGCCTTTGTTCTTTGTTCAGGGATGGAATGTCCCTTGACACACACTCACACACATTTGTATATTTCTTGACCTCCTGATTTTTGCACGTGGTGCGGTTTGTCATCTCGTGGTGTCCTCGTAGTCCTCGTAGCGTTGCACATTTATCGAATTCCGCAGACATTTGTGTTCCGGCGGGAGCAAACAAAAGCCACCTCGTGGCTGCTTTCAATCAGAACGCTCTGTGCGGCAAACGCTGACGAATTAACGGGGCGATTTTCTGTTTTTCACAGTTAGCTCTTGCGGGACGAAAAAAAAACGCCTTTTGTGCTGGGATTTGAAAAGCGTGCTTTCTCCCACCCACGAGAAGGAGCACCAGCAGATAGGGTTCGTTATTGGGATTAGTTATTAAATTTGCACTTGAAAAGTGGAAATTTCACGAATATCCCAACAACGTTGGGGTGTTAAAATATTGTTTTTGTGAAAGGAAAAAAAAAACGTGCTATTGTCCATTTTCTAGTGGTGCACAATGAACAAAAAGTTAACACTTTCGTCAATAACACTGTGGCCCTAAATAGGGTAAATAAATACATATAATATGCAACAATAACAATTCTGCCCAGAAAGCACTGTGGTGTAGTCAACATTCTTGGCTTCCATTGGCCGGTTATCATCATCAAGGCATTAGTTGTTTCGCTATTTTGAAACCTTGAAATGCCACTGCAGCTCGTGCCGTCGCAGTCGATTCTACCGTTGCCCACGGAAGCCTCGGCTGAGTTCCCGAAGGAAATTCACCGCGGCTCTCGGCCGTCGTGGCCACGGCGCTCCCGCCGCCGGCCTTGTGCCTGCTGTGCCCGCAGGTTCCCGTGCTGCGCCTGTGCGTGCTGGTGGCCGCCACGGGCATTGGGGGCAGCTTCCAGTACGGCTTCAACATCTCCGTCATCAGCGCCCCCACGACCGTGAGTGCTCCCCCCCCCCCCCCCCCCCCACCCTCCGCACCCACCTCCACCATCATCCTTGCCTACTTGGTGATTTATTTCATTCACTCGATCTAGAGACCCTTTGGGTTTCCCGAGCAACATGCAAATGCTGTCAAAGCGACCGGCGGTGAGAAATTCTCCAGACTGTCTGGCACGAGGACGTTACGGGAGAAGGTTGCACAGGTACGAGAGCGATTCCGGGTGGCCATTGAGAAGCCTCCGAAAATTTGCTCGTTGTGTAATTACTTGCTAAATTGTGTAGCCACTTTCTGAGGTTTGTTTGGCGACTTTCCAGTGTAAAAAAAATCAGCGACGCTGCTCTCCCGGGCCCCCCCCTCCCCCCACTGCGCACATCCCCGCACTCCGCTGGGGTAACAAGTGTGTGGCACGCACCCACAATGCCGTGCACGCATCCACAATGCCGTGCGTGTTCGCCTCTCTGAAAGCGCATTCGTTAAAAGCCCCATACCTGCTGGGGAAGCCCTCGTCCCGCAACGGATTCGCAAAAAAGCCTTCCGTGGAAACGTCTTCTATCTCGTGACGTAACACCGACAGTCAACTGGGAATATAATATGGGGCAATGGAAAACGTTCTACAAAAGGAAAAAGATGCTTCTACAACGTGTATGTATGTAGCCAACTACGCTAATCGGAGGTGCGAATCGGACTGTGCCCTGAACCTTTCAAGCGGCAATGGGGTGTCACCGGCAGCAGAACATTTCTAAAACAGGATTTGCCAAGTCAAGCGGGAGTAAATATATCCTAGAGAGCGTTCCGTTAGACGCCATTAAAATTTCCATGAAAATAACCCGGCGAGCCTCGCTTTGTTCACGTTAAAAATCATGAATCCCGGCGGATTCCCTTTGTCCTCCGGGGTGGGGGGCCTGGGCCTCATGCCGCGTGTTTGTCTGGTTTTGGGCCGAGGTTGGCCGACGAGAGCTGTTTTCGAAACATTTCTTGGCAGGGCCTCACACAAAACTGCAGCGTGGAACGGCGCGCCGATCAACCGGCTCCCCCACCCCCCGCCGCCTTCCGCCGCTGTGCCAATTACGACCGCGGGGGAGCCGCCGCTTTGTTCGACGAATTACAAAAGCGCGCAATCAAAAGTTGGAATTCCCAAATTGGCCCGAAACCGGCACTTTGTGAGCGCGCACCGGAAGGACGGGTCAGAAGCGCTGAGACGTCAAGAAGGAAATCCTGTTGAAAACCTCGCCGAATCTTTTTAAAAAGGGATAATCATTTTTTTTGGCCTTGTGGGGTTTGGCTTCCAGAGAGGGGAAGGCATTTTAGGATGAATTTGGGGCTGTGGCCAAGTTCTGAGAGTTGTGCAAATCTAGGTTTTTCAGACCTCGGTGACCTCCGCTGTGTTACTCCGTTGATTCTGCGCGAATTAATGGATGTGTGTGTATGTGTGTGTTAAATGAATGGAGGCCTGTCCCAAGTGTGAATGAAGGAGAGTGGTACTTTTTGGTATTTGTCTCAATTGTATCCAGACTGTGCATTCGGTGTCTGGTCATGATCCAAGATATCCGTTTCGGATCTCTCCATAGTGCAGTTGACTCCCTTTCGTGTTCGAGAATAGCCCACAGAACTGGATACTGTCGAGCCGCCTCCAAAATCGCTTCAAGTGACTTCTGTTCAACGTAGTATAGAAGGGGCAGCACCTCCCCACCCGCCCAGCCACAGGGAGTAATGTTCGTCGCATAACAGTTAAACCAAAATGTATCATTCTTAAGAGCTGGACGTTAGTAAAAACAGAGCGCAGGACGAAATAAAATGTTTTTGGTTATTTTGTGATTTTGATTGGTGTGGCCAGGCTGTGACCATCAACTCGCTACACTTGAGAGCACCACCATAACCCGCGCAGCTTGGGGGTAATGGCCTTCATCCATCCATCCATCAGTGGATTGACAAACGGCTGTCAATTATCATGGATTTCAAACAGGATTTACAAACAACGGTGCCAGCTCGGGAGTTGTTTGACCTCCGATGCATCTTTCCACTGCACAACCGAGCTGTACCGGAGCCACGCGAGCGAGCCAGCCTGGCGTGGCTCGGGAAGCACCGGCTTCTTTTTCCCACACTTCAAAATCCCGAACGGTGCCGCGTGGCGCCGCACACGACGCGCGCGTCACGAGGCCCCGCCGCTTGGCCCTGCTTGGCTTCGAGCCAGGATCCACGTGTCTCGTCTCGTCTTGTGAAGCCAGCGTGTCCTATCACGGCTTCGGTTTTGGTCCCGGCTATGATGCGCCAGTCGTCAAAGGTGTGCCGCTCCGACCGACTCAAGGAGACCTAACGTTTTGTAACGTCACCTCTTATTTTGTTGTTTTATTTCCTTTCTCCCGCTCGCACGCCCGACGACGGAGCAGCACATCCAGCGCTTCATCAACACGACGTGCGAGCAGCGCTACGGCGCGGGGCTCGACCAGCACGTGCTCACGCTGCTCTGGTCGACCGTCGTCTCCGTGTTCACGCTCGGCGGGTGCCTCGGCGCTCTGCTCGCGGGGCCCCTCGCCATCCGCCTGGGCAGGTGCGTTAAGTCGTAATAGCCCGCATCTATTATTTCGCCCGAATCCGCAAACAAAACGTCAGACTGCCACAGTTGGGCGACGGCAATCGGTAGTTGTGTCGCTGCGGTTCTCTGCGGCGAGTAGTGCAACGTCTTGAAAAGCAAAGGCGCTTCTACACCTCTCTAAAATAAAAATGAACGCTGACCGGCTCGCGCGTTCCGAGATTAATCGGTGGGCAGGACCCACCCTGGAACTTGCACATGTCTCGGAATGGGAAAGGGTTAAATAACTAATCGGGTTAGAGCCAAGCGCTGCACATGAGTAGCCAATGCAGGCAGCTGACAGATGCGCAGAGGCTGCTGTCTTGTTTGCCGTATTTCCCAATCGGCAGACTGCACGACTGCTGTCTTTTTTTCTCTCCCCCCCCCCCCTCGCTCTGCCCCCCCACCCTTTTTTAATTAAGTAGAGAATGCAATACATTTAAGTAAGTGGTTAATAAGTGCGTGGAAGGATTAACGAGTTAATAAATAAAGCGGCAAGGTAATTGCGTTGTTCGCGAAAATCCTGAGCTGCCCTCTGCCCGTTTAATTCTTTAATTAAAAAAATGTAATCCCCCCCCCCCCCAAAGAGTTCAAAGGGTCGTGCGACTCAGCACGGCGGTGATTTGTAGCGCGCGACGTGAGGCCACGTGATTCGGCTCCTCGCCCGCCACCAGCGGAAGCGCCCCAGACGTCCCCGACGTCGGGGGGCTCGAGCCCCCGGCCGTGGCCACTGCGGCGGCCACTTGCGCCAACGCGAGCGCGCGCCGCCCTCTTCGGCATCGTCGGGCCATTATCGGTCCGCCGCTGGACGAAGGTCTCGTCCCCCGAGCCTCTTGTCGCCCCGGCTCTTACGGTCCCGCCCTTCAACATTCCACCTGAGCACCTGCGCGTGAGCGCATTTCGTCTCTCTCTCTCTGCAGTGGACGGTACTCGCAGACGCGTTCCTTCCCTTGGCTGCCACTCGATTGTACGTCTGGGCCCTCGTGCCGTCATCCCGTCCCTTCCGGCGACGCGTCCTGCCCGAGCCAGCTTACTCTTCTTAAGAGTTAGAACAATGCGTTTTTAAAACCTGCGCATGTTCTCCGATCCATGCGTTCCTCCGTCTCCCTCCCTCTTTCTCGCGCCATGCGACTGATCCCCACTCCTTGGCGTCGTCGCGCTCCGCCGACGACACGCAGCGATCGCGGCCTCCATCGCGCCGGCTCCACAACCACCGCGGCAACCACGGTGAAACTCGCCACGGCGGAGTGTGTGAGGTGTCGCGCGGCGCCCGCTCGAGCCCCCCCCCCGCTAAAAACGGTGCCCAAAGGTCAGCGCGGCAGCAGCTGTCGGCGTGGGGCCGTCTGCGTCTCGCCGAGTTCGTTAATCCGGCGGGGTGGCCCCGGCGAGAGGCGTGGCAGGGCCCGACCAAACCCTTGCTCTCCGCCTCGGCGGCCACTTCTTCCGACGCCGATCCCCGCCGACAGCTGGGAGTAGCAGACTCTGTGTCCGCCCCCCCCCCCGCCCTCTCCCTCACAGCTCTCATTGGTTTGTGACGCAGCCTCCGTGTCTCATTTGATTGGAGTACACCGGCGGCGGGGTCCCCTAATCGAGGCCGGCGTTGCCCCCCCCCCCCCCCCCCCGATGTGCGTGGGGCTGTGATGGACGTTCGAGGGCGAGCTCGGGTGGTGTTTCTTGCCTCTTGGCGCGGAAGCTCAACGGAGGTTCATGAGTCCGAGAGGTGGCAGGGCCCGGCCGTGCCGCGCTACGGGGGTGGTAACCCGGGGCTCGGATGAGCCGTCCAGCCGTGCAGAGCTGCAAGCGACTTCTTCTTGTTCTTGTGCAAGGCCTGACCTTTATGGCATCCGCCCCAGCAAGTGGGCTTATTGTTCGTTGGCCAGGAAAAGGGGGCACGGCGTGGCGGGGCAGAGGTGCGGCTGAGCATCCGCGCCACTTGGCCAGCGGACGAGAATGCACAGTCCGCAGAGGTCCCTCGCCAATTGGGCCAAATGGAAGGGGTTAGCTGGAGGTCGGTGTCGAAACGCACGATTCAAGCGAGGCGTGTGTGCGTGTGTGCGTGTGTGCGCGTATCCCGGCCTTCATAGGTGCTGCTCGCTAACAGCACATGCCCCAACAGTCTGTTGAAGGCTGCACGGGGGTCTCTTTATCTTGTTATTGTCCCGGATTGCCCTTAATTGATTCCAGCAATGGTTTTTAATTCTCACTCGCATCTTTGAGACCCACTTTGTCACATCGCTGAATAATCCGCTTGGAATTACAAGTGTAAGCCTATTCTCCTGCTATTGGAATTCAGTTAAGTACATTGGATTAAATAAATAAAATATATCTTCACTTGAGATTAGGGGAGGATTAAATCATGAATGGAACAAACGATGTATAACTTATTTCCCTTCATGTCATTCGTTTCATGTGTATATGCAGAGGGGTGGAGCGTTTATGCAGTGGTTAGTTCACTGCGCTATGAACCCAGTGACACGTATTCATTGCCCAGCCGTAGTGTCATCAGGGGTGAGTGATATCTGAACCAGCCCTGCAACAACCCCACTACACCACTACCCCAAGCCTTGCTGACCGGTGGGGTGAAGTATGGTCAAAACAGCCTGTGACCACCAAGGCATGTTCAAGACCAGCAGTGTTTAGACAAAGTGCTGTACAATGTTGTACGTTAATTTCGGAGGCCCTGCTTTAAATAACTTCTCCGTGCCTGCTCTGTGCGATACAAATGCTCGGTTGAATACGCCTTTTTTGTTTTCAATCCATCACTGAAGCATTTTTGTTGCGTTAGTCCAGCCGTTTGCATCCAAAATACGATTTTAAAGCAAACATTATTCCGACAAGTTAAGCTTTTTTTTATCGAAACCAGCGGTAGACTCCCCACATGTGAAAAAAATGTTAAACTCCACATGGAAACACTCTGGGCTTTTAGCGCCGTTTACCAACCCTCGTGTTACAGGCTCAGCGGTACAAGCAGCGCATCTGGCCCCTGAGCAGCGCACTCGGCCGCACACGCTGGCGACATCACCCCATCGCCCTAGCGAGGCTTGCAGAGCACCATGGGAAACTTTTCCCACGATGCCTTGCTGCCCGCACACACAAAGACAAAGAATCCTCCGGGATAGCCTTAACAGATCTTTGGGGCAAGTGCTGTTAGCGAGTAGCACCGACGAAGGCCGGAACCGCACACGAGAGGGGTGGGTGGCCAGCTCCATCCCCAGCCGCCTTTGTCTTCCTAGTGGCAAATTGTTACACACCGCACCGGGTATTCATTTGAGGCCGAGTCGACCTCGGGAAAGCTCACTACCGGTTCAGATAATCGTCACCGGTGTTGGCCGTGACCGGCAATCGAACTCTGGTCACCGGGTTCCAGAGCACAGGACGCTATACTACCGCTCCCCACACACACCCACACAAAGACAAAGATCCCCGTATAGCCTTAGACTGTTGGGGTAAGTGCTGTTAGGCCAGAATGGCAGACGGAGGGGGTGGATGGCCGCCACCACGCCCGGCCGCCTTTGTCTCCCTAGTGGCGATGTTTGCTGCACAGCGCGCCAGGTACTCAATTGAGTCAACACACAGACACACGCACACACACACCGACACCTTTCGCTCGCCCACCCTATGGCCGCAGAGCGACACAGGCGAACCGTGGTGGTGGTGGCGGCGGTGGTTGGGGGTGGAGACGGCGTCTGGTTGATGAACTCGGTCACTGCTAACCGCGTCTCGCTGCGCGCGCCCTCGCTTCGCAGGAAGGGTGCCCTGCTGTTCAACAATGGCTTTGCGGTGCTGGCCGCGGTGCTGATGGGCGTGAGCCGTCCCGCGACCTCCTTTGAGCTCATAATCATCGGCAGGCTCCTCATCGGCATCAACTGCGGTGAGCTGGGGCCCCCCGGGGTCCGTCCCGCCCCCCCCCCCCCGCCACCTCCCCCCGTACAGAGAGGCTTAGGTGGTGGGTGGCCAGCGCAAGGAGGATTGGAGGATTGAGCCTCCCCCTTCAGACTTTGCGGTTAATATGCACGGTGGGGGGGGGGGGGAAGGCAGGTGGCTACGTTCGGTGTAGCGGTCGGATTTTCTCTTTTTTTTAAATGCCAGAAGGTCTTTGTTTGATTACAAAGCACGTTCGTGGAAGGTCACGTGTCGTGCCCCCCGTAATAAACATGAGCTCAGATTCTCTTTCCATTTCACGTTGCATTATTTTCTTTTTCCCCAGCAGAGGCTATACTCGCCAAGTTATCATTTGCTTTTAGATCTTGTCGAGTGGTCGCCCGTACACCCCGCTCCTGTTGCACGGGCTCCGTGTGTCCGTACGCATGCGCATTTATACTCAGAAGTTAATACACAGTGTGTCTTGCATGATTGGGCTTTGATGAAATATGAGTGACTCCAACCGTAACACGGTCTGGGCGCCCGCCGCACACTTCACCGAGCAGCAATTTCACCAACTCGTATATTTTATCATCGCTCATTTGCTGTGGTATAACGACATACATTTATATATACACATTGACACACACGCGTACAGCGGTCCATCCCTGCCTTGTTATTCAATACATTTTCAGAAATTCGCGGTCACGAGTCGATGCAAGTGTCCCAAACTGTAGTTTTTTTGCCCACTTTGTGGCAAACGTAGCGGCCTCTTCGTGGCTGTATGGGGTCACGTGAACCCATTAACGTGCAACCTTTGCGAAATTTTCAAAACGTCGATTATGCGTGTCGCGAGCTCAAGAATCGACGTGGATGACGACGACCGATGGAAGCTCATCGCCGCTGAACCCCCCCGACCCATTTTGCCGTCGCCAGCGAACTTTGCCGTTTGCGAGCGTAACGCATTTCTGCACGTGTCGTCCAACCAACCGACCAATCACGTATGCCGTTTGTCGCGTGCGTGCGTGAATGCGTGCGTGCCTGCCCCCACTCACAGGAGTGGGCCTGAGCCTGCAGCCCATGTTCCTGGGGGAGTCGGCCCCCCAGCACCTGCGTGGGATAATGGCGATGGGTGGCATCCTCTTCCTGCCCTTCGGCATCGTCAGCGGACAGATCATGGGGCTACGGTGATGATTGCCGATGATCACTGTTGACTCCGTCAGACACTGACCAGATCTCGACTGCTGACTTGCTTAAAACTACTTTTTTTATTTTACCAGGTAAGGCCCACTGAGCTATGTAGCTCTTTTTCAGAAGCGACCTGGCCACAAAGGACAGCTCAACGAAGTTGCTTATTGTGTGGAAATTTATAGCAACCAAATACTCTCTCAACGCGTGTTTCTCAAAGTGGAAGGAAAAATCCACTCGACCACAGGGAGAGAGACACGCAAACTCCAAATATACAGCAGCAGGTGTCAGGGTCGAGATCGAACCCACGACCTCCTGCATACCAGGCGAGGTAGTTAACATCTCACTTTGTTGGAACCACCTGAGATGGCATAGCGATGGCGATTCCCATTTGTTTATGTGGCTCATAAGAGTTAATTACGTGATAACTATTTTAACTGAGTGAGTAATAAAATAATTAACCTTTGTTAGCCGTATAAATCTATATATCGCGACTAATAAAGTTGAGCTACTTTAGGTGGCACCAGTATCTGCTCTGGCCCATGGGCTACACGAGACAGGACACTTTCTTGCAAAAGGATTCGTAAGCTTTTCTATGCCAATCCTTTTACTGATCCGCTAATCGACATGACGAACCAGACGAGCCGTAGAAAAGAGACGTTAGGACGGGGAGCCTCGCACAACATGCGGGCGCTGACATTGAAGTCCGCTCGGCAGCCACTCCTCGCCGAGCTGCTGGAGCCAGGACGCAGACCCCGGGGGCGCCGGCGTTCGATCGTGCGTGTGCGTGCGTACGTGACGCCAACCACAGTGACGATGATCTGAGCCGGTCCTGGGTCTCCCCTAGGTCGACTCAGCCTCAAATGAGTAACCTGGTGCGGTGCGTAGTAAACATCGCCGCTGGGGAGACGAAGGCGGCCGGGACGTGGTGCTGGCCACCCACCCCCCTCGTGTGCCGGCCTTCGTAGCTGCTCGCTAACAGCACTTGCCCCAACAGTCTGTTAAGGCTACATGGGGGGTGGGATCTTTGTCTTTGCGTGACGTTGCTCCCTCCCCCGGGGACTGCCGTGTTTCCCCCGCCCACCGTTGCAGGGAGCTGATGGGTGAGGAGGAGATGTGGCCGTTCCTGCTGGCACTAACGGTGGTGCCGGCGCTGGTGCAGCTCGCCGTGCTGCCCCTGCTCCCCGAGAGCCCTCGCTTCCTGCTCATCGACCGCGACGACCGCAAGCGCTGCCTCAAAGGTAGCCGAGCGCAAACGGCGCTCTCTTATACGCAAACAGCACATGGGCACACATGGGAACACATGGGAACACATGGGAACACATCACATGGGAACACATCACATGGGAACACATCACATGGGAACACATGGGAACACATGGGCATGGGCACACATGGGAACACATGGGAACACATGGGCACACATGGGAACACATGGGCACACATGGGAACACATGGGCACACATGGGCACACATGGGAACACATGGGCACACATGGGCACACATGGGAACACTTGGGCACACATGGGAACACATGGGAACACATGGGCACACATGGGAACACATGGGCACACATGGGAACACATGGGAACACATGGGCACACATGGGAACACTTGGGCACACATGGGCACACATGGGAACACATGGGCACACATGGGAACACTTGGGCACACATGGGCACACATGGGAACACATGGGCACACATGGGCACACATGGGCACACATGGGAACACATGGGAACACATGGGCACACATGGGAACACATCACATGGGAACACATGGGAACACATCACATGGGAACACATGGGAACACATGGGAACACATCACATGGGAACACATGGGAACACATGGGAACACATGGGAACACATGGGCACACATGAGCACACATGGTACAAACGGTACAAATGGACAACATAGCACGCACGGTGCCAAGTTATATCGGCATGTAACGATGTATTGACTTTAATCGCTCTCCGATACGTTTTCGGGTTGTGCCCCGCGTTGTTCGGCGTTGAGGTCCAACGTTTCGGTTTTGTGGCGGATGATGACGACGACGACGAACGGTGGTGATCGTCATCAGGCTTTGCTCAATCCATCATCTCCCGTGATCCGGCGAGCGCGATGCACCGCCTGGCACCTTCTTGCGCGCGAGCCGACGCCGTCGCTTGCCATTGCACCGGGACACAATGTCGATTTTTAAATGAGAAAACGGGGAGCGCCCGTCGGTAGGGTCCGCCCGCGTGCTTCACGCGGGCGTTGGTCGAGGCTGCTCGTCGCGCCACCGGCGGACGGGAGCGGAGACTGCCGTGACGTCAACGCCATCGGGCCCATCGGGACAAATTTGCAGCCCAGGGTGCATCATTTTGACTTTGGAAGTGGTGGTGGGGGGGGGGGGGGGAAGGGCCTGTGTCCCTTGCCCAAGGTAAATTCATTTTTGGGGGGCCTTCCTGAGTTTTGGGACCCCCGTGCAATTGTATACCCCCTTGCTCCTCGCTCCCCCCCGCCCCCCCCCCCCGCCCATATTGTGTTGTTAGACCTGCATCACGTACAGGTATAGGGATGGCCACCTGCTCCTGGTTTTAACCAGGAACATCCTCTCTTTGAGGTCGCTTTCCAGGGACCATCTGCAAGCCTTTCAAAGGCCTGGCCTTTACAAGTTGCGTAACAGTAATGACGGTAATAATAAAACAAAAATCTCCCGTCTCTGTGATTTGTGTCTCAGAGGTGGCAACCCAAAACCGGGTTATTCACCTTGATGGGGATGGGGGGGGGTAGTGGAGGGCGCACGATCACCGCCTAAGGAATTTGGCAACGGCACCTGGCACAGCCGGGGGGCCCTGGCACGAACAGCGTGCCACGCCACGGCGCTCGCTACCAGGGCACGGGAGGCCCCCCACCCCCCCCTCCCCCCCCGTATTTCGGAGCTATCTGGCGTGTGCAGCGCAGCACACGGGCGGCGCGATGGCTGCACGGCTGTACCTTAGTGCCACCACTGCCGGTGATTGCACCCGCCCAGAATTCCCCCCACCCCAACTCGCCCCCGCCATCGAGGTGAATGGCCGAGGAATCGGGTGGTGGGCCACCTTCGGGGCCACAAGCGAACGCGAGGGACGGAGGAGAGACCCTGCAAGGGCACAAGCCATGTCGTGTCGTTAATGTTCATGCCGTTGTGCACGATGGGCTGTGTATCCTGAAGGTCGTGGTGACTTCATCCGTGACGCTCATGACGATGTGAATCCTCCGCGATTAAAAGTGTAACGGAGGGTTTTTTTTAGGGTTAGATCGCGTAAATGTATAAATGTTGTGTCGTTAAACCCCGCCACCACCCGCCACAGCCAACTAGTAAGGGTTGTCACGTAAACAGAACGTGCCAATTCGTCACTGGTACAGCACTAACCGGTGTGTTGGAAGCCACTCTCCAACACTGCTGTACTAGTGACAAATTGGAATGTTCTGTTTACGTGACAACCCTTACTATACTCTTTAGTTCTTTCGGTAAAGTCACGTAGGTAGAAAAAATAATATTAGATCACGACGTTTCGATCCTCGCACAAGCAACCGTCTGCGTCGGGTGGTGGCGGGTTTAACGACACATTTATATATTTACGCGATCCAACCCCACAACAAACCTCTCATGGATGACTTTGGTCGCGAAAGCCTACGTGTTAAACTCATTACAAGTGTATTTTTGGTTTTTTTATTTTAGTTTTTTTACCAGATTAAAAAATAGTGGAAGCAATTCGCATCCTCTCGCGAACATCCTCTCTCTCTCTCGAGGCGGCCACAGGAATTGGAAAAAAAACATCGGCCCACGCAGAAATTGGTGGCGATTGCGATGGCAACTCCGTGGACCGAGACCCACGCGGTTTTGTTTCGTTATCTTCAAAGGGGCAGTCGATTCCTCGTGGTGCAATTAATGCCTCGGCAGTTGGTGGCATTTCCGTGGTGGCGGAGTAACCGTTGCGAGCTCACGCGCATGTAGCAAGGGGGCCGGCCATAGTGCTGCAGGTGGTTAGCACCTCTGCACTGCATCGCCAACTCGGCCACCCGAGTTGGATTCCCGCTCGTGGCCAAAATGGAGGATGAATATCTTAACTCGAGACCTGGGCCCTCCCCCTGGGGTCGACTCAATTTTAATTGAGTAAAATATGGCAGTGTATGAAATATCAGTCCTGGTGAGACAACGGCGGACGGGGAGGCCCTCTGGTGCTGGACACCCGCCCCCTCGTGTCCCCGTGCCAGCCTTCACAGGTACTGCTCGCTAACAGCGCTTGCCCCTGAACAGTCTGTTAAGGTTACACAGGGGACATATGTATTGTTTTTTTTTTATTCCACAGCCCTGCAGTGGCTGCGCGGGGCGGGCGACGTCACGGACGAGATGGCGGAGATGAGGGCCGAGCACGCGAAGCTGCAGGGCCAGAAGAAGAAGATGCCGCTTGACCTGCTGCGCGACCCCTCGCAACGGTGGCAGCTCATCACCGTCGTGGTCATGGGTGCCGGGCAGCAGCTGTGCGGACTCGACGTGGTGAGCACCTCCCCTGCCACCACCACCCCCCACCCCCCCCCCACCACGATTGCATGACTTGTAAAAGGCAATGGTACAGGTGCAGCCCTGCAGTTGCTCGCTCACGCCACCGCTGGTGAAGAGGGCCACGACTACAAAGCGGAAGCTCCGGAGGGTCCCCTCCCAAGAGGAGGAGGGGGGTTGTGGGTATTTTGTCCAACTCGTCCACGCTGGCTGGATGTTACCGCACACAACCTACCAATCAACGGACTGTGGGTACACACATTTACACTGCTGGTTGGACAGAGGTGGTTGGGTGGGGGGGGCGATTTAATAAACTTGTGCCGTTGCTTCAATTTCTGCGCCGGGAGATCGAAGTGGTGACCTGTGGATTGGTTGTCCAGTGTGGTTGACCACTGGCACCACCGCCTCTTCCTACGCGGGTTAATTACATTTTAGCCGAGCGTTAGGGCTCAACGATGAATTGATTTAAAATAGAAATCGCAATTTGAAAAAACGCTATTAGCAAATCGCAAAGGCTGAGATTTTTTGCGATTTGAAAAAGTCCTATTGCTTTCTTATTGGAATAGTTTTATTTATTATTATTATTATAAGTTTATTTATTTAACGTAATCGTTCTATGCTTGATTGTTCTATTTCAGTTAAAACATTTTAATAAATACATGTTGGAAGCAATCCATATATTTTAAGTTCTCATCCTTGCATTAGAATATATAGAGCAGTTCATATGTTGATGGTATCACGTGGTAATGCTCCATCACATGTTTGAAATCTATTACACATTGAATATTGAACTGAAGCTTGACTTAACAAAAATAAAATCGGCAAATCAAAATGCAATATCTGTCAGAAAAATCGCAATTAGATGTTTTCCCCAAATCGTTCAGCGCTACCGAGTGTGCACGTGGCGCAGTTTGAATCGGTGAGATGAATACCCCATGAAGTCCCCCTGCCAATGACCAAATCTCCCGGAAGGTACCGGATCGCATCGCCCACTGCATTAAAGAATGGTCCGCAGACGGAGACTTCGCAGAACTGCTTCTGATATCTTTTCAATTGACCGCTTATCTACCGCTAGAGGACACTGCAATTTCCCAACCCATTCTGCTGCAGAGGGTAAAGTTCGCCTCTTGACTGTCAAAACTTATATTCATCATTCCCAGCGCTGGAAGTTGGCCAATCCGAAATTTAATACGACGGGGAGTTTTTTTTTTTTGCGCACAATCGTCCGTGCTTGTACACATTTCTGACTGTTGTTGGAAACGTTCTAGATTACCACGTACAACATCCTGCAAGCGGAGGGGGGGGGGGGGCTCCACTTGACACAAGTCCGGCTGCCGTGACCCTGCGAGATACGCCCCGGCTGGGTCATTGCGAAATTTGCTTTTGATACGCAAATAAACATTCACGCAGCCGGATTCCCGCTGCCCCCACAACGCGACAATACTTGTACGGTGGCCGGCCGTCCCCCCCCCCCCCCTTGCTTTTCTGCACAGCGTCATTTATTTCGGTTCCATCTCTCGGAACCGAAATAAGGCGCGCGTGTCCTCACTTGCGCCTACGCCCGGGGAGGTTTTGCGCCTACGCGTGAACCTGCGTGCCGGGGCAAGCGCCGATCGCCAAAGGGGACGGCCCCCCCCCCCCCTCCCCCGATATTTGGGGCGCCACTGGTGGCGAGATGTTAGCGACCTCGCCAGGTGTGCAAGGAGGTCATGGGTTAAATCTCGACTCATGACGCCTGTAGCTTAGTGGGCCTTAACTGGTCGTGAAAAAAAGTTTTTAGTTTTAACGTTTTTGTTTTCTCTGTGCGCGGTGTTTCGTTGCTGTTCTCGGTGTGTGTTGGGCGCGCAGATCTACTCCTACTCCACGTACATTTTCGAAGCGTCAGGCGTTTCCCACGACAAGATCACCTACGTCACCATCGGCACGGGCGTGTGCGAGATGTTCACGGTGTTCGTCAGCGTAAGTTTGGGTTGCACGGCCCCCCCCCCCCCCCCCCCCCGTGCAGTGCGATGACGATCGTGGTCGTTAGGAGTTTTGAGGTGGCGTTACACCCTGTGTTTGTGGGGGGGGGGGTTTATGTAGTTGAGCCTGTCCGCACGAAAACGCAACGGATGTGATGTGTTCGACGTTTCGCTCCGCGTGCTTCTTCGGGAAATCGGAACTGTCACCTAAAGCAGAATCGTCTCGTCATCGGATTCCTCCAGTAAAAATAAATATTCTTATTCTGAAATGGCAGGCATCTATTCCCAAACGACACACGGTAACAACGGAACAGCACATTCGAGAGCAATGTGGTTTCTTTTTTGCAGTTGTGAAGGAGGGATGTAGCATAGAAACGTGCGGCTCCTGCCTCTGCAGGGGGGGGACCCCTGTGTGAAGGTGCACGCCATGAGAACTGTCCCAGTGAATGACAAATACATCCTGAGCGTCGGCAATTGCGGTCGATTGCGGCCGATGATGGAAGCCGGCTTCCATTGCGGGCACGCGTGTGTCCCCAGGGCTACTTCATCGAGCGCGCTGGAAGGCGACCGCTGCTGATCGGCGGCTACATGATGATGTCGGTGGTGTGCGTCGTGATGACCGTGTCCCTGCACCTCCAGGTAAACCCAAGTCCAGCTGCGCGTTCACGGCCGGCCAGATTGCGTTACGACGGGAGGCCCCGGGGGAGCCCGTGCCCGATGGGCCTGGCTATCTGAAGTTCGGTGTACAAATTGTACATCGCAATTCGAAGTTTAAAATTAGTAACACTTTCAATTTTTAAACCATAACATAACACGTGATGAGCCACTTGGTTGAGCTATCATCCGTGGCCCGGTCGCTTCTGAGTTAGAGCTCTAAAGCTCAGTGGGCCTTACCTGGTAAACAATTTAAAAATTTGTTGAGTTTTTGTTTATTTTACATGACGACGATATCACCATTGGGATACAATTGGAGAAAGACGAAAATTAATTTTGGAGAGAGAGAAAAAAAAGCCGCCTTAGTTACTTCTGCAAATCTGGGTACGGATCCGACAGCCTGTGTCACGCGTGTGTGTGTGTGCGTGTGTGTGTGTCGCATGTGGGGAGCGATAGTGTAGCGGTTAGCGCGCTGCGGTATGAACCCGGCGACACGGGTTCGATTCCCGCTCACGGCCAACACCAGTGACGATTATCTTAACCGGTCCCGGGCCTCCCCTAGGTCGACTCAGCCTCAAATGAGTAACTGGTGCAGTGTGTAAACATTGCCACTAGAGAGACAAAGGCGGTCGGGCGTGGTGCTGGCCACCCACCCCCTCGTGTACCGTTACCGGCCTTCATAGGTGATCGCTAACAGCACTTGCCCCTACAGTCTGTTAAGGCTATATGGGGGACCTTTGTCTTTGTGTCACGTTTGTGTGTGTGTGTGCGTGCGTGCGTGCGGGCGCGTGTGTGTGTGTGTCAACTCAGCCTCAAATGAGTACCTGGTGCGGTGTGTAAACATTGCTGCTGGGGAGACAAAGCTGGCCAGGAGTGGTGCTGGCCACCCACCCCCTCGTGTGCCGTGCCTGCCTTCATATGTGCCCGCTAACAGCACTTGCCCCAACAGCCTGTTAAAGCTATACGGGTGGGATCTTTGTCTTTGTACCCAGGACTCCGTGGAGTGGATGCCGTACCTCAGCGCCACATGCGTGTTCGGCTACATCCTCAGCTTTGGCATCGGCCCAGGTAAACTCACGATCCTCGCGATCCCTCGCGATGCTAGCGATCCCTCGCAATCCTCGCGATGCTCACGATCCTAGCAATGCTCGCGATCCTCGCACCAGCGTGAGATTCCCGGCGTCCGCCTCCCAATTCCGCCCCTCGCCCCTCATTCTGGGCCAGAACTTTAAGGCAATGGAAATCTCCGTAATGTTGAAGCATCGCTAGTGACACGGAGACTCGTGCAAACTCTCCAATCCTCTTCTCTCCATGTCTTCGTTTAGTCCTGTGTCCCTCCATCGTCTTTACGGTTTCCCGTGCTTTATACTCCTGCATGTGACTCTTCATCCAGTGAAGGCAGGGAGCATAGGCATAGGGGCATAGAAGTCGGGTACAACAATTGTTGTTGCTGCACTGCCCACTACTGCCCACCAGAGGTCTGCAGCCTCATAACAGCTATCCAGTACTTCTGATTTTTTTCACATCTGCGCACTAACCAGGCTCTCAACCCTGCTCAACTAATCCGGTGATCTGACAAAAAGTGAGCGCATTCGAGGGGCGGGGGGGGGGGGTTTCATCAGGGTGCACATTAACCAATATCTCGTGTAATTCAAGAGTTGATTTATTGGTCACGGGTGGCCGTGGGTCGCCATTGTAAAAATAAAGAGAGCTGTTGAGCTGGATGGGGCCATCCAGGCATTTGGCTACTTTCCACGTCCACATGATCAGCCATGTCGTTGAGCGATCATTTGTGGCCAGGTCGCTTCTGAAAAAGAGGTGTGTGTGTGTGTGTATATATAGACAGTAGCTCAGTGGGCCTTAGCCGGTAAAATTAAAATAAAAAGTAGCAATAAGTAGTTTAGTTTAACACGTAGGCTTTCGCGACCAATATCATCCATTATAGAGGGGTTTTTTTTGGGTTAGATTGCATTCGTTCACTCACGTGTTTCTCGTCAATATTCTTGTTGCCGCTAGCTGCATCTGCTCCTGTGTGTGTGTTTGTGTGTCTTAGTGGGGAGCGGTAGTGTAGCGGGTTAGCGCGCTGCGCTACAAACCTGGTGACCCGACTTTCATTCCCGCTCAAGGCCAACACCGTCGGTGACGATTATCTGAACCGGTCCTGGTGGACCTTCCTTAGTTCGACTCGGCCTCAAACGAGTACCTGGTGCGGTGTGTAGTAAACATCGCCACTGGGGAGACAAAGGCGACCGGGCGTGGTGCTGGCCACCCACCCCCTCGTGTGCCGTGCCGGCCTTGATAGGTGCTACTCGCTAACAGCACTTGCCCCTACAGCCTGTTAAAGCTACACGGTGTGGGGGGGGTCTTTGTCTTTGTGCGTGCGTGTGTCGCGCGTCACGCGATCGTAACGCAGGTGGCGTGACGGGAATGATGGCGGCGGAGTTGTTCACGCAGGAAGCGCGCCCGGCAGCCTACATGATCAACGGCTCCTGCAACTGGATCTTCCTCTTCTCCATCGGCATGGTGTTCCCCTTCATGGTGGTGCGAGCCCCCATCCCTCGCGGGTTTGGCATCGGTGGCGTTCCCATGCACAGTTGGCGGCGTGGCAGGCAGTTTTGACGACTGAGGGGGGATGCTCACAGGTTGGGGAACCATCGTCCGGTGCAGGGGTGATCCTGGTCGTACTTCGAAATACCGAAACTGTAATAATAATCACGGCATTTGCAGGGGTGATTCCAAAAGAAACGAACAAGAACGTTCGTGGGATTATTAATTTTACTGGCTTGCGGTTGCCAAAAAAAAAATGAGAACTTAAGAGAGAACCAGGATTGTCTTCTTTGCAAGAGTGACCTGGGGCAGCAGTCTGCCAGTCGGGGGCAATGATAACTACGTACAATCCCAAGTGAGTAACTTCTGATGGAACATTTCGAATTTGTCACATTTTGGGGCCCTGGCGCCAACACGCACAATGTGGAATTCTTCAACGTCCACCGTGAAGCAGATGGCGTAGGATCATTGCCATTGTTACACCGGCAGTAATAACCAGGGCGGCCGCTGGATTCGAACCGTGATCCTTTGCAGCGAGTGGCGAACGCCCTACCGCCGGGCCGCCGCACAGCCCCTGTCACACTGCAGAAGGCCCTGTGGCACTGGGGACTTCTCGTGCGCAACGTTCGTCTATCTGCGGCGGCACACTGCTGCCCCCTTCTGTATGAAGCGCGTGGCGTACACGCTGTGTGGGCTTGGAGGTTGTGACTTGGTTTAACGCGGAGTAGGCTGTCGCGACAAATGTTATCCAGAATAAAGGGAGGGTTTTTTTTGTTTGTTAAATCGCGTAAATCTAAATGTGTCGTTGACCCACCACCTCCCGACGCAGCCAATTGGTAAGGTTTGTCACGTGAACAAAACGTGCCAGTGAGTTAAAAGTTCAGCACACCGGTGTGTTTACCCTGTAAACTCGGCGACCTCTGTGTTTTTTTTCCTGGCCACGGTGGTGAGTGACATCTGGCCTGGTCCTGGGTCCCCCACCCCTCACTGGCCAGTGTGGTGAAGTATAGTCGAACAACCGGAAATGGCAAATGGCCTTGGGATGCCCTCATCTAGCAGCAGATTCGCAAAAAAAAGGGGGCCGCGTATCCACGAGTGCCTGTGGGTGGTGTTGTTTGTGCCGCTCGTCCCCGTCGACAGAAAGAGCTGGGCTCCTTCTGCTTCCTCGTGTTCCTGGTGGACTGCGTGTGCTGCGCCCTCTACATTTACTTCATCCTCCCGGAGACGCGCAACAAGTCCTTCCTGGAGATCGCGCAAGAATTCGAGAAACGCAACGGTACGGCCGCCACCACCAAGCCTCCGCCGAGCATCGAGCTCCTCGCGATATGAGGCCTTCGTCCACGCCACGGCAGCAGCACCGCCCCCGGTGCTGCCCTGCCCACGACCAGTCCTGCCCACCACCATCAACTACCACCACTACAGTCCTGCCACCACCAACACAGTCCTGCCACCACTACATCGCCCACCAGGGCACCACCACCACGGCACCACCTCCACAGCATCGTCGACGTGGCAATGCCTCCACAGCTGCTTCCTTCTTTTGTCATCCCCAACTTCGCCGCCATCTGTCGACGGGATTGTAAAGGTCGCGCAAGGGGGGGGGCACCCCCTGCATCCAGAACCTTTCAACCCCGGTCCGCTTGAATATTGCGGATACATTTCATGCTGCACGAATCTTTGTTGAACCAGGTGAACGACTTCGCGTATGTCGAACAGATAGATGCAGAGAAGCTGCATTTGGACGAACGTTCGGTCAATGAGAACCCTGGTCATAGGCAACACTCTCTGCTTTTTTCCTCCAGTACAGAGCGATCAATCCAAGCAGGCACGCTCTTGTTTTAACACACGCTCTGTGTGTTGACTTTCATGAAAGCTCTTAAATGGTTTTTTTAAAAGCCCTTTTTTTCCCTGTTTAGCTAATGTTTACTTCGGTAGACCAAGTGTTTTTTTTTCCTTCCCCCCCCCACCCGCCTCTCATTCACACATTGTTTGTTTGAAATAATTAATTTTTGCTCGTCCCTTAGTTTTTACTCGCTCTTAAGCGGACTTAAATCCACGGGCGCGCCACGGGCAGCGGGCGCCCGCCGCTAACGTTTCCGTCCGTTCGGGGCACGCGCAATTTTTAACGAAGGCGATACGGCACCGATTATAATCCATTACAACAACAACAAAAAAATCCCGCGTCGGCTCAAGTGACGGCCCGCTACCTCATCGTCGACCGTTGAAATCGGCGCGAAAAAAATGATCAGGAAGTAATCTCCTTGCCGGGTCGCCGAGCGCCGTGCGGGGGGGGGGGGGGGGAGCGCCGGTTGCGCGGTCAGAGTTGCCCTACCGAGCCTTGGACCGCCACCGTGGCCACGGTTGATTATTTTCGGCTGCCGTGCGGGAATGTTTGTGTTTTGTTTTGCGCTCTCCGTGGCTTGGATGGGATTCGGAGAAAGAGTTCTCTTGATTTGAGACGTCAAAAAAATACACAAAGGCACCAGTTTGCACACAGCCTTCTAACAAAGAAACTGGCAGTTACACACACACACACTTATATATATGATGCAGCAAACCAGCTGAACACTACACGTGGTCTCCTGTACGTTCACACCTGTGTACACTTGCGTGCAAAAAGCACACGGTCTCAAGGTGGTGCACCGTTCCTCATTTTAACTTTTCCCGCTTGCGAAGAAAGTCATCTCGATTCCACGATCGACCGATTCCGCAAAGAGGATCGTTTTCTCGAGAGAAGAAAAAAAATGGAAACCGCATTCTGCTGCGCCTCACTCCCACAAGGTGAAGGAGCCCCCCCCCCCCCCCCAGGATTGTGACGGAGAACCTTCTGCGATTTTATTTAATTTTGTCCATCACGACTCGGGCCTCGGCATCGCGGCATGAGGCACTTGGAGGATTCGCTCGCCGGTTTTCCCCGCGCGAGGGCCCCTGACACCGTCCGGCACGCGCGCGCGTTCGGAAACTGGTGTGCCGCGAAAATAGAAAAATTCCCAAAGTTCCTGGCTGGCCGGTGTGGGGGCCCCCCTCTCTCGTGCGAACAGAGTGCTGATGATGCTGATAACGATGATGATGATCATCATTTTTGCGATGCTCATGGTAATGATGGTAATATTATGGTGATCATTATGATGATTTTAATAATGGTGAAGATAATCATATTGATGATTATGATAGGGCATAGTTATTTGAATAACAGCGATTATGGTAATTTTAATGATGATCGCGATATGTTGAACGTACATATAATGTAGTTTGTGCGCGCGTGCGTATATGTATGCGCGTGACGTTAGGTTCGCACTCTACAATACTGGCGATCTAGCTTGGATATCATGCGCACAAGTGGCAAGTGGTATCTGAACCTGTCCCGTGCCTTCACTAGGTCGAATTAGCCCTGAACGAGTAACTGGGTGCCGTGTGTCTATACATGGGCACCGGAGAGACAAAGGCGGCCAGGTGCGATGCCTCCCTCTAAGTGTTACCTACGAGCACTTGCCGGCACTGCCCGTAAAGCTATGTGGGGGATCTTTACGTGCAGGGGAGATCGGTGTAACAATTGTAGGATCGATCAGAATGAAGCCATGGCATGGTGTGGTGACATCGGGCTGCGTTGACCTGTAAATTGATTTAAGCTCTTGTCGTTGAACCTCAAAATAATGTAAAGTAAAGAAACTGTAGGCTTGGGTTCGCACGTGTGAGAGACGAGGAGATTGTGGGTGTCTCCGAGGCCCTCCATTGGTTGCAAGTAGAGACGAGAGTAACACTGATTCATCAATCAATACCGATTCATAAGTTCACGATACACGCATAGAATCGCCCGTGTAAGAACGCCTTTTGTGAGTTGCTTCGGTCTTATCCTGTGCGTCCATGAGTTCAGGTGACCACTGCAGCTTGCAAGAAAAGGCTTGCTACATTACAGCAGTGTTCTTGATTATTTTTAATCGAATTGCGATGGGGAATCTTGAAAATCGCTGAATCGCGAGGGGGTTGGGTGGAGGGTCATTATTTCACCCATGTACTGGGTGCTTCAAAAAAATGTTAACACTTTCTGAGAATTTGCAACAATACCTCAAATGTGCTGCCTCAGGGCTTTGGAGATCATCTGGAGAAGATTCTAGGCAATGCATTGGCAACGATCGCGAACAAGTGGAGACTGAACTTTTTGAAGCTAGTAACATACATTCGTTATCAAGTTACAGTGTAGTATTTTCCTTCGTTTTTTTCCCCCACTTAAAAACGATAGTTCCATATAAGTGTTAAAATATTTTTGAACCACCCTGTGTATTTATCCAGCGCTCTGCGCGCTGCGTCCAACTGTGGCTGTGATGGGTCTGCAGCGGGCAAGACCGACAGATCGTGGCGCGCACGTGGTGTCAGACGGCTCGGAGCCCGATTGGACGGCTCTGTTCCATTGGGCTGGGGGTGGGAGGGGGCTTGCCTCGTGACGTCACATCACCCGCGGTGCAATTGTGCTTTTGCTCCTCCTCTCGCTCGTGATTGGCTGAGCCCCCCCCCCATCCCCACTAAAATTGTTTTGGCTGCAACAACAATTTCCCCCAGTGGTAAAAAAAAAAAACGATCCGAGACTGGGGCCTGAACATCGTCAAACAACGCATGAGAATGGCAGGTTATACGTGCGCCGTACGCCATCGGTGGTGCTTATGCGGGCGCGTGCGAAAGAAATTGCCATATCTGGGTAAGAAATGTCGCTACAAAGCGCCTGTTTGCCAACAGGGAGAGCCAACCTCACCACTTGGGGGGGGCGGTGTGTTCATCTGCCTGAATTGTAATGGGACAAAACTTTGAACAGTGTTCTATATACTTTTTGGGTCTTTCGGTAAAGTCACGTAGATTGAATAAAAATAATAAGTGTTCTATATTTTTATTTAAAGCTTTCGTGACTGCAGGGATTCATATTCTTGGTTCTTTCGGTAAGTCACGTAGAAGGGAAACATCCATTATTTTCGTCTCCCCCCTCTTCTTTTCCGAACATAGATGGACTCTCCATCTGAATAACTGCCAAATCGCTCTCGGTGATGCTAACGTTAAAAAAAAACCGCCAATTTTTTCAAATTTTCTTGCTGTGGTTTTCACACCTGATGATGATTGCTTGTGTTGCAGTCGAAACATCGTGAGAATTGTATGTTTTATATTTTTATTATATTGTTTCCCTTCTACGTGACTTTACCGAAAGAACCAAGAATATGAATCCCTGCAGTCACGAAAGCTTTAAATCAAAATTTAACTGCCTCTACAGGGAGAGTTTCCACATATCTTTGAGATCCTTCAACAAACTCCGGGATAAGAAGGCTCAGCTGATCGAGTCTCTCACCTTTCTGAAGAAATGCCGCGACTCTGGGGTAATACCAATCGCATTTACACTGACCTCTGCTGCTGTAACTTCCTCTAATGCAAAACGAATTATTTCCAGAACTAGCTTAGCTCTTAACTCCGAGAAAATCAGACTTATACGCACCGAACTAGATCAGTTAGACAAGACACTCTACAAATCACACTTATCATTGACAGCAACAATGTTCACATAGGATTGGGAACATGTAGACAATATGACTGCTTCTTCAGCTGCCACTATGTCGACCAAATGTAAGGACAACCTGATTTCCAAATCTAACCTCTCCAACAAAAGACCGGACCCACACACCAAAAAGCTAGACGTTAACAAAGTCGTAATTAATCGCAATAACAGTTCTATTTCCGATGGTCTGAAATCCGTTTTAGCTAAAGGTCTAAACTTTGCAGTCACACCTAAACACATACCAGTTAATGATATCATTGCCCAAGTAGACGTGGCTCTCAAGGGCCTGGGTCACATCGCTGCAGACATAGCAAGATCTGAAATCGCTGCGACCCTCAAAAACGCCAAGATGCCAGCTCGCAACCTCAGCAAAGATGAGCGTTTTGAATTATATAAATTAAAAAGGAGGGATGACATTGTCATCCTCTCAGCCGACAAGGGCAATGCCACTGTCATCATGGACAAAATAGAATATAACAACAAAATTCAAGAATTACTCAACGATGGCAGCTATACAAAAATAAAAAGAGATCCCACCAACAGCCTCGTCAAACAAACCAACAAAATCATTTTTGATTCAAATGCATTAATTGATCAAACCAAACAGTTCTCGTTGAAACCTGCTGCTGCCAGGCCACCAAGATAATATGACTTACCAAAAATACATAAAGTAGATACACCCCTTCGTCCCATCGTCTCTACTATCAACTCCCCCACCTACAAACTGGCTCGTTTTCTGTCTGAAATCCTGCGGCCTTTCACTGGAAAAACCGCCTCTGCGGTACAAAATACTACTCACCTGGTATCGACAATCACGGGTATTTCCCTGTCCTCAGACGACCTGCTTGTCAGTTTTGATGTAGTTTGCTTATTCACCAAAGTTCCTGTACCTGACACCATCACAATCATTGAAGACTTGATTAATCAAGGACTAAACACTTAGGTACCCCCCCTGGTGAGACACTGCTTAACCAATACATACTTCACTTGGAATGGAACTTTCTACAAACTGAGGGCACCCCAATGGGCTCCCCCCTATCTCCAGTTGTAGCCAACATTTTCATGGATAAATTTGAGACTGACGCCATCCAGACTGCCACTGCGCCCAACCTTATGGAAGAGGTATGTGGATGACACTTTTGTCATCTGGCCACATGGCCGACCTGCTCTAGACCAATTCCTCGACCACATCAATTCCATACACCCAGCCATCAGATTTACCATGGAAGTCGAAAAAAATGGCAAGAGATGACAAGAGACTTGATGGTTCAATGAGCCACTCTGTCTACAGGAAAGCTACCCATACGAATGCTTATCTGAAACCGGATTCCCACCACCATCCATCACAGAAGAATTCTCTCATCAAGACTCTGTACCATAGAGCCCAATGCATATCCGACCAGGAACACATAGGCAGTGAACTCAAGCACGTACACCAAGCTCTTAAGGCTAATGGTTACTCCGACTATACAATCCGCAAAGCTATCACTCAAACCATGAAGAAGGACCCTCTTGAGGAGCCTTTCAAAACCATCACTTTACCCTACATTGCGGGGGTCACAAAAAAGATCTCCAAAATCTTGAATAAACACAAGATCCAGGTCCGTTTCAACACATTACATAAAATCCGTGATCTGGTTCCGTCTGTAAAAGATGTGATTCCGGACATACAGTTAACTGGCGTCTACAAACTAAGTTGCCTCTGTGGTAGTAGTTACATTGGAGAAACCAAACGACATGTCTCGGACCGCATCCGTGAACACAAAGCAGACCTAAAACACGGTAAGACCAACACCTCGGCCGTGGCAGATCACTGTTATAATTCAGTAGGCTCACATGACATTGACTTCTCCAAGACAGAGGTTCTCTGCAAGCCATCTATCTACCATGAGAGATTCGTTCATGAGGCTATCCACATATACAAACAGACAATTTCAACCGAGAAGATGGATTCTGGCTTAGCAATCATTGGAAGTATTTGATAAACCATTTCGGGGCTTAATTGAGTGTTCATGCTTACGGTGGCTTTCAGACCGCATCCATTATTTTCGTCTCCCCCCTCCTCTTTTCCGAACATAGATAGACTCGTCCATCCGAACAAACTGCCAAATCGCTCTCCGTGGTACTAACGTTAAAAAAACGCCGCTTTTTTAACTTTTTTGCTGTGGTTTTAACACCTGATGATGATTGCTTGTGTTGCAGTCGAAACGTGAGAATTTTATTCTTTTATATTTTTATTATTTTATTGTTTCCCTTCTACGTGATTTTACCGAAAGAACCAAGAATAAGTGTTCTATATATTTCGAGGCGTCGAGTGCGGGGGGAGGGGGTGACTGGAGGGATGTTTTTGCTGACCCCCAACCCCCTGACTTTACCTCGGGTGACCTCGGAAGAGCCAAAAAAACGCGAACGTATTGCAACGGGTTTAAACTCTCGGCGTTGCTTGCTTACAGCAGTTGCTAAAGAGAGTTGATACAAGCAGTGTTGTCTCCCGTGCGAGTGTATTTTTTTAACTATTTAGATCTTCATATTTATCCGTGGCCAAAGTTGTGCAGTTGGTAAAGAGGACAGGGCTGACGTGCGTTCAGCTCCCAACTTCAAGTCTTGTTTATGGGTCAACTGAACCCTGGGTACATCATTATCATCATTCACGAATCGGTCGTCTATTAGCATCAATAAATCATCCTTATTATCATCATCCATTAACCATTATCATCATCATCATCCATAATGATCAATTATTTTACAGAATCACCATCAATCGATACTTCTTATTGTCATCACGATCCATGGGCAGATAGCCCGTAGGTGTCCACTGTACATTTAGTCATTCGTTTCCACTTTCCTCTCGGTCTTGTGCCACTCTTCTCAAGTAGTGGCCACATCTTTCTGGCACCAATCTCGGAACGTCAAGCCGTTCTCTGTTGCGTCTTCCTCTCTACTCGGTGTCGTCCATTGACAGCTCTCGTAATCCCATCAATCGTCACCATCGACAGCAATCGTCACCATCAGCCATCACCGGTCAAACATCGTCCGTCCGTTCATGGTCATCGATCATTCCTCCAGGGCGTGCACAGCGAGTACCGACTGAAAATGCTGCTGCGCTTCGCGAGGTCCCGTGCTCTTGTGGACCCCCCACTGGTTCCACACCAGCGCAGGAGGCCGAGGGAGGATGGAGGAGAAAGGAGAGCATCGCTGTGACGACGACGCTCTCTTCTGACTTTCCCTGCTCATTCTGCCACCGAATTCCCCCGTCGCCGCCGCAGGGTGTCGTGTGACGATCTCGCCCCTTGCGCCGATGAGACGTCAAAGCGGCGGCTCCATCGGGCAGAGAGGGGACCTCGTATTGGCCAGTCGATCAATCGGCGGTTATCATTCACAATCGTGGGATGGGTCCAGCTCAAATTATTTAATCCTTGCACTCGTTTTAAATTTACAAGGGCAAATGAAGTACAGCATATATAATATACAAAAATGAACGTATTTACTGGGTGTGATAACTGTTTAACATTTCAGTGTTGCACAACCAGTCGGTGAAAAGCGTCACTTGCAGTATGTTCATCTTCTGTAACGGTTCGTGTGGTTGTTTTTTTAGTATTGTGCGTTTTGTGTGCGCGTGTGTGTGTACACATGTACTGTATAATGCAATCGCACGGGTGTGTTGAGTGCTAACGTTTAAACGTTTGCGAACGTACCGGACTCCTACAAATACACAAGATAATATATTAACTCGACTGTCGTCTTGTGGACGTTTTTTTTCCCCCGGTAAAAAAAAAAATACGCATCGGTGTGAAAAAAAAACAAAGCACACGAGCTACGTGACCGCATGACGTTGGACGCGCGTCTCCACGTGCCTCGGCGCTCCATCCTCCGTGCTCCCCACGGATCGAACCCACCACGTGCAGCGGCGTGGTGCTGCCAAGATGTTCTGCATCACGGCCGCGATCCTCTCTCTCTGTCTGTGTGTGCGGGCGGGCGGGCGGGCGTCGTCTGCAGCGACAAACCCGGTCAAATCGGGACGCCGCAATTGAGCCCCCCAATTCTTTGATTGCATTGAGCGGGATGAGTGAAACCCAGCGCTTTGAGCAAGGGTTGGCATTGGTGTGCCCCCCCCCCCTTATGTAAGGAATGTAATGTGGAGGGGGTTTGGGGGACCTCATGTCTAATTCTGCCCCCCCCCCCAGTTCTCGTCATAGCCATGGCGACTGGGCCCCGATGCAGTTGCACCGCCTGCAAGCCTGGTGTTGTTGTTGTTATTGTTGTTGTGTTTGTTTTTTCCCCCGACCGCACGGTGTTGTTGTTGCCTTACGCACTCCGCGAGTGTTCGCGAGAGACGAGTGGTGGCGTTTATAAATTTTAAATTGTGATCCTATCCTGTTATTTCGGGAGTTTTTTTTCTTAATGAACGTCA